TTAATTTTGAATGTACTGTAGTCCTCAGCAATACTTTTTAAAATGTTTCAAAGTTTTTGGAGGTTGGCGTATGTACTTGGAAGTAATAAAACTATATTTTTATGTCTAATTTAAACTTTCACTAATTTGTATTAGTCTTTGCATTAATTTTCTATGGTTTAATTGTATTTTTCTCTTAATATTGGAAGAAATTTCTCATTTTTTTTCTTTATGTCTTGGAAAGGTTTTCTAAATCTCAATAATTTTAGACATGTCTAAAGATGTTTATCTATTGAGATGCAGTCAACATACAGTGAAAAATGCACAGCTCTTACATGTTCAGTTTGGTGAGATTTGATACCATATAACCACCATCCCAAACAAAATATAGAACTTTTCTGTTCCTCCGGAAAATTTCCTGTGCCCCTTTGCAGTTAATTTCCACCCCCTATTCTCACCTGGAAACCAACTTTTAATTTCTATCACTATAGATTTGCCTGCATTTAAATTTCATATCAATGCAATCAAATAGTATGTACCCTTTTGTTCTTGTCCAGTGTAACGTTTTAGATACTCATCTAGGTCACTGACTATATCATAGATTTTTCTTTTTTATTGTTGAATAGAATTCCTTATGTATGGACATACTACCGTTTATCCATTCTCCTGTTGATAGACTTTATGGTTCCAGTTTTTGACTATTGCAAATAAGGCTGTGAGTACATTGTTTTGTAAGTCTTTTAGTGAGCATATGTTTGTTTCATTTCTCTTAATATCCAAAAGTAAATATCCAAAATTATTTGATCACAGAATAGGTTATAGGTGTGTCTTTATAAGTAATTGTCAAATAGTTTCCTCCCAGAACCATATTTGAGTTCCAGTTATTCCGTATCTTCACCAACATTTAGTGTTATGTCTTTTTTATTTTAGCCATTCTATTAGGTAGTTAGTGATATGTCATAATTTTAACATACATTTTCCTGTTAACTAATGAAAAAGTTTGCATGCAAGTTCATGTGCACATAGTCTGTTCATCTATCTTCTTTGAAAAGTGTTTTTCCCCCTGCTTTTTAATTAGTATGTCTTTTTACCATCGATTTGTAGGATTTTGTTGTTGTTGTATGTTCTATTTCTTTTTTAAGGATTTTATTTATTTTGAGAGAGAGAAAGCTCGAGCAGGGGCAGGGGCAGAGGGAGAGGCAGGCTTCCCACTGAGCAGGAATCCTGATGCAGGGGCTCCATCCCAGGAACCTGGGATCATGACCTGAGCGAAGGCAGACACAACCGACTGAGCCACCTGGGCTCCCCAATTGTTGTATGTTCAAGATGCAAGTGCTTTGTTAGATACATATTTAGTCAGGTTTTTTTTTGTTGTTGTTGTTTTTTAACCAGTCTGTGGCTTGTCTATTTTCTTAATGGTGTCTTTGCTGAGCAGAAAGTTTTAAAACTGATGTTCATTTTATCCATTTTGTGTCATTATTGTTTGGGCCTTTTGTTTTCTGTCAAAAGCAGTCTTTGCCTACCCCAAGGGGCAAAGATAATCTCTTGTATTTCCTTCTAGAAGCTTTAGGTTCTGTGTTTTACATTTATGTCTATGACTCATTCATCTTGTGTTAATTCTTGTGTATGAAATGAGATAGGGATCGAGGTTAATTTTTCCACATGGCATCTAGTTGTTTCAGTTCAGTTTATTGAATTGCATTGACACCTTTGCTGAAAATCATTGACTATACATATCCATGTCTGTATCTGTATATCTATCTATCTATATATATATATGGTCTATTACTTCTAGACTCTTTATTCTGTTCTACTGATATATTTAGATATATTTATGCCAGTACTACAGTCTTGATTACCGTAGCTTCAGCTTTGTTCTGTTTCAAGATTCTTTTGCCTGTTCTAGATCCTTTGTATTTCCATATAAACCATAGACATATTTACACAGTGTATGATTTTTTGTAGCTGCCAAAATAAATTACTGCAGACGTGGTGGCTTAAAACAACAGAACTGTATTTTTCCACAATTCTGGAGTCTAGAAATTCAAAATCAGTATAACTGAACCAAAGTCAAGGCTCTAGGGGTAGGAGTACATTCCTTGTCTCTTCTAGCTGCTGGTGGCTGCCAGTATTCCCTGGCTTATGGACTCATCACTCCCAATCTTTGATACCATTATTTCAAATCCCTCTCTGTCTCTCTGAATGGTCTTCATACCGTCTTCTCCTCTGTGTGTCAAATCTCCCTCTGCCTCTTTCTTATAAGAATACTTTGATTGAATTTAGGGCCCACTTTTGTAATTCAGAGTACTCTCCATTTAAAGATCTTCAAGTTGTATCTTCCAAGATCCTTTTTCCTAATAAGGTAACATTTTACAGGTACCAGAGATTAGGACCTGATATCTTTAGGTGCCATTTTCAGCCAACCACAGAATGTGTTATTCTCTTTTAGACCTTCATTTTGTTCTTCAACTTGCTGTCAAAACAGATTGGACTGAGGCTTTTAGCACCCTAAATGACATATTTATTTTCTTGCTAATAATTGCCATTTCTTAATTGGACTCTGTATCATAGAATAAAATGTATTGCATTCTAATAATAGCACAACAGATTAGACCTAAAAGCTTCAGATAGTGAGTTGCTTATTTAAAATAGCTGTCAGGAAAATAAAAAGTTAGTAAGAAATGGAATTATGCTCGAACTATCGTAGAACTGATCTATGACTCAGTAAAATTTAGTGATAGCTTTTAGTTTTGGGTGGCTACAAACTAATTCTTGATTTTGTAAGGCTTTCTTGGTAAGGCTTGTTACAGAAATCTTCTTCACATAGTGTTAGAAGAATGGGTAAGCTAGAGAACTTTAATGTAGCAAACTCTTTTTTGGTGTGGGGATGTTACTTAAATATTAGCCCAAATGTAGGGACTGCCTAGACCTCAGTATGGGAATGATTTTTATGAGCATCATTTGATAAATCATGACCATAAAAAGATGAAATAGTAAAGCCTTAGTTTTCTTTTCTTTTCTTCAGTCATTATATTAATTAGCTTAAATATTTAAATGTTGATAACTGTTAAATTTGGCATAGGAAGAGAAATAGTTTGCTAGAGGGAAAATGGAAGCCTAATTCTTTGTTTGCCCTATAATCTTTCTCTCAGCATGCATGATGTTCTTCTGTGCAACCAGATAACACAATAGCTTTTGCTCTGCTAGCGAGAATCATCAGCAGTGTGAAAAAGTTCAGCATGAAAACAAATTCACTGTCAAAACCAGTAGTCTACATTATGATTAAAAATTTACATATTTTCTGAATTCTGGATTGAGGATTGAAGTCACTTTACTTTGTGTTACTTGCCACAATTCACTGAGTGACTTTGGCCTTAGCAACTTGGATAATACATGACGTTGCACTTTTCAATTTTTTGTGTTATTTCAATGTCTGTAAAATAGTCAATGAAAGAATTTAAGTGGTTATGCCATTATTAATTGATGAGTATGTGAGTGAACCATATTAATGTCATGAAATGTAAAAATGGTGGGTTTTTTTTTTGTACCTGTTTTATTATAAAAACTTTGAAGAAAAAGGACGAGAACTAAAGGAGGAAAACTAGTCTACTAGTTCAAAGGAAATTCCTAAGGTAACTTTTAAAATTAGGTATATTCTATAACATACTTGATAAAGCATTCAGAGTAATTACTGATGGCAAATTCTCATTGAATACTATCAAGTGGTTCCTTGTTTACTTGAGAGTGAAAAAATGACACATTTGAATATCTGCTACTATGATCCCTACATTATTTAAGTGAAATGTCTCTACATTTAGATAACCTTTTCTCGCTTATTTTTTGAAAGACTACTGAAATGCAAATGACATTGATTCTTTCAGAACCAATAAATAAAAAGAGAAGGAAGAACCACGGAGAATATAGGGGGAAAAGGAGATAATATAAGTGGGATATCTAGTAAGCCACATTTACATTAGCATTTGAGAATCGATGAATTGGTAGAAAATGTTCTTGTTTTGACCAAATACTTTAAACAAACTACTGCATATTGAAAACATTTTTAAAAATTTCTTAGATTTGGAAAACACAAATGAGAAAGATTTACTAATGAATTAATTTATATCCAAATGTTTTGTTGAGTTCTTTAAAGTTGTTGTTCACCAGGGCGCCTGGGTGGCTCATTTGGTTGAGCGTCTGACTCTTGGTTTTGGCTCAGGTCATGATCTCAGGGTCATGAGATCGAGTCTCATGTGGGGTTCTGTGCTGGGCCGGGAGTCTGCTTGAGGTTCTCTCTCTCTCCCTCTGGCCCTCCCCCTTCTTGCGCATGCTTGTGTGTGTGTGTGTGTGTGTGTGTGCGTGTGTGTGTGTGCGCACACATGCTCTCTCTCTCTGAAATCTTTAAAACAAAAACAGTTGTTTCTTACCCATCTGCCCTAGAATAACTATTTTTCAACAAAAATTTATGTTTGGGGATTTGTAACTTTAAAATCTTCAGGACTGAACTGGAAGATGAAAGGTATTTATTTTCAAGTATGATTGTATAATCTGCTTTCATAAGAAAAAGCTAGTAGTTCATTTGTAATGGTTTTTACAGCCAAGCACCTTATATAAGGAAAGCTTCATACTCTGCATAGTTTGTGCCCTTTCTTTGTCATGTCCTGCTCGTCTGCACGTACCTATTTCTGTTTGTGTTAGTCATCCTCTCTAGGTAAATTGTCCATGAGACCAGTGATTCCATCAGCAAATTATCCAGAAAATGCTGTCTTTGCATGTTGTGACAGATCATGTCACTGGTGGATTTATAGCTACTCCAGTGGTCTAATTAACCTGGCAGTTGTCTCCTGTGCCCAACACTGTTGTCTCATTGCCTTGGCACCGTAGTTTTCATCTTCTCATCACCTTCTTTCTTAACTAAAACTTAGATTTACAAGTTTTGGGTTTTTTTGTTTTGTTTTGTTTTTGTTTTTAACCTACCCCATCAACCCTCTCTATTTACCACCCCGTTTATTTTTGATTGGCAGTATCATCCAGATAAACAAAGTGCAGATGTGCCAGCAGGAACAGTGGAGGAATGTATACAGAAGTTCATCGAAATTGATCAGGCATGGAAAATTCTAGGGAATGAAGAGACAAAAAAAGAGTATGACCTGCAGCGGCATGGTGGGTACTTAGGGTGAGGAGCCACAGTATACTGGCAGCTCTTTGAAGCGCAGTCTGCAACCTTTCCTGGGGAGCATTTTCCAGCCTTCATACCAAGTTATTATTGCCTTCTTTACTCTCCCCCTCCATCACTGTTTTTAACTAGGTCTTTCTCTTAGCAGTGATTATTGTGTATCCATTGAGAAGTTAACAAAACTACTAGGATGTGGCTTCTTAGGAAGCCATGAAAGCTACTTTTTCTAACTAATGAAAAATGTTTAACTACACATTTCTAATTAATATGTTGGATAACTTCTTATTGTTAAATTTAATTATGTACTGATTCAAATTTTAATTGTGTCATTTTTAACAATGTGTACTATATAAATGACCATCAAAAGGAGGGTACAATAGGGGATAACATCATAAAGCACTCTGCTGTCTTTCAGCTTGTTTTAGGCTAGGTTTCATGATTGTCTCCTGAATAAACTATTCTTTATAAGATTGCTATAAATGGTATTTTAGGAATGCACCTTTCCTAAGCAGTTTTAAAAGTCATTTCTTTTATGTGTTTTAGAAAATAGCTTCTTAAAACAGTGACAAGCTCTTGTGAGAAAGAAAGGGAAAAATGTAGGTCAGGTTTGTCACACATAGACTGCAGTTACACAAAGTGATAGGCTGTCTTTCAGCACTGGCCTTGGGATAGGAGTCCCTCAGTCTTCTATTTGAACCTTCAGTATGCACCCTGCATGCTAATGGGGGGGAGTCAATAATCAGTTACAGCCTGTGGGGAAAACACTCAATTGCTCTGCAGTAGCGCACCAGGTTCAGCATTGACTCGAATGTGTTGATAAAAGCTCACTGTCTCTGTAGTTGATGATTGAATCCCCTCCCATGCCCTACACTGGCACATCATCAAACCTAACAAAATGATTTTAAGGCTCCTACTACTGAGGTTATGAAAATTTGATTTGAGAAACCAGGCTTACTTCTAAAACACAGCATTATAGGATAAAGCCAGTGATATAAATGGAATACCCATGTTTATTTTCAGAGGGAATTGTACTGATAAAATTAAGTATTACTTACAGGCAGTGTGTGATATCTTTGGGTATAAAGACTTCATGAGCTATTTGTTTATATACTGGAGAATTTAATAGTGACTTTGATCATACTAATCAGCTCTAAAGCCCTTCTACTTTTTTAAGACTGATGAGCTTTTTAAAAAATATTAAGAAACTGATGAGTGTATCTTTGCAATGAATTTGGATTAATTTTCAAATATGGCTTGAATATTGGGTCTTATCTGTTTGGTGCATATATAAGTATGTTGCCAATGTTGTATATCTTTTGTAAATATGTTTTACTTCTGGCAAAAGAATGTACAAGCGGTTCCATTTGTGGATGAATTCTATTCATAGATCTATCTTTTTAACCTTGGTTCACATGATAGGATTTCTGTGAAAGTGCTGAAGCTAATATATACAAATGTGTCATGTGTGAGAAGTTACCAAGTGTTTTTGCCCGTCTTTACCAGTCGTTACTTTGTGGGTACCAGTTTGCTTAAGAGAAGAATAATTCACAAAACTACGTCAAGGGGGGTAAGGAACATACTTCCCCTGTCGCTCTGCATTTTTGCCACTCCACAGCCTGTGTACCTTTAAGAACTGTCAGTAAAACTGACTAGAATCCTACTACCGAAAGAGAAAAGAGGCAGGGAGAGATCAGGAATAAAAAACTAATCTCTCTTGCTAGGGAATAGGGTGTTGGTAGACGAGAAATGGAGAGAAATAGGAAACAGGGTTAGAAGTGAGCAATAGAATTGCAGGAAGGAAAGTTTAAAAAACGTTATAAGAACAAATAACCAACAGCTTCAAGCCTTTCTCATTGCCTTTGGGAAGTCCTTGGAAACGTGGATTTCTTTTGAGCTTTGAGTCATTGGTTTGAAGGTTTTAATGGAGGTAACTGCAGCAGCCTACAGGGTCACGGGGACTCTTGTAGGTCATTGATGGGGGCCACAACAACATTTAGACAAACTGAATACAGTGAGAGTTGGGCCTGATTCATGATATGGATAAATAGGCAGATCTGCTTGGAATTTATATAATGTTCAGTTTGCTTTGCAAGTTTTTCAAGCAGGTTCTAGGAGGACAATGGAAATACAGCTTTTCATGACCTTTTAATAATGTCAGACCTAAGTACGAAGTATTTCCTTCATTACCAGCAGCTCCAAATGGTGAGAATATTTTACTTCAGTTTTAAATTGAGATTGGATCACTGTTTAGATAAGAAGTCTCTTATCCAAATATAATTTGCTGTTTTTAAGCCTTTCGTACTAGAGCTATTTTTTAAAAATCTCATAATAAACCTAGTTTCATATGGTCATTTCTTTTGAATGCTGACATTAATTTTTCCTTCTTGACCCATCTTTAGTAATTGGCTCCTCAAAAGAAGGAAATGAACTTGAACTTCTAACAGTGAGCATTTAGATTTGATAGAAGGAAAACCTTTGAGAGTGATAATTTGTTAAAGACCAGGATAGGTTACCAAGAGAGAGAGAATTTGTTATAACCAGGTCAAAGCACTCTTTTTTTCTGGGTCACCCCCTGGGGACATGGAAATAGCTTTGTTATACAGAACTCTTTTTGCATGTGGTGATAGTTCACTGTAGAACTTTTTTTTCATAGGGTGTGCTTGAAATATGTTTGTTTCCTGCCTTCCATTAACTTGGAGTATAAAATAAATTTGAGCTCCGTAATACTGGGGAGGAGGCAAGAGATGGTTTATTTATATGTTGAATGCTTTCTCATATTTCACAGCTCAGAGTTGGTGCTCTGTTGTAAGGAAACCCTCATCAATATTGCCCACAACCATTTATTTCCCTAAAAGATCATTTAAAGGGGCCCTTGACATCCATATTTTTTTGCTTCACAAAAGATATCAAATGAGTTCTAATTAAAAAAAAGCCTAGGGTAGATAACCCCAGTAAAGTACATATAGTTTTTCTTCCCCATTTCCACATATCTATTCTTAGTTGATATTTTGAGGGCAATGTCGGCCAGACTGAAGAAAAGCAGATCTAAAAAAGGATGAGTAATATTCAGTTCCCAGATATTATGCATTTTGAAAGCAGTGTTAACTAGTGAATTTAATCAATTAGTTCCAGTTGGCGTATTTACCTTCTTGTTTCTAAGGATGCTTCCAAAGGCTTGTTTCCCATGTTCCCTTGAAAGGCATGTAGTTATTCAAGATAAGGCTTTGCATTTCAGACAACCAGATGAACACTTTGGAAGATCTTTTCTGGATTTATAAAATGTTTAAATGAATGATATCTGTTGACTAGATTTTGGTGCCCTTATAAAGGTATGGGGAGTTTTCTAATGTATTAAGCACATGAAAAACACATCAGAAGTATATCATGGGAAAATAATAGGGATCATGATTCAGTTGCTTTGTAATACGACAGTCACACAGATCTCCAATGTCTCAGTGGCTCTGACCTGAAGTGAAACAAACCTTCAGGTGAAGTCAGTCAGATTAAATAATTTTTCTAAAAAATAAATGGGTTGTGTTTGGAATCCTTGGTGGTATATTATTTTATATTAAGATGTATCTTGGTTTTCTATTAGTGAATTATGTTGGTAATGTGGAGTCTTCACCTTACACAGTCAGACAAGTACTTGGATACCCAAAATAGCCTGGCTCAGGAGATTGGGCCTACATTGTAAAGTCTTTACTTTGTCTTTACTCAAAGCTAATCTAAGCTACTCTCCATTAGCTAGATACAAAAGGTCATTTCTGGTGTTGTGTTATACAGTTTACCTTGACCCTTTTATTAGGATAAATGTTTGAGAATGGGAGATAAGCAAATAAATTGTGGGCCAAATATGAACATATCTTTAAAAACCCCACCAACGTTAACGTGTCAACATGTAATTTCTTAAGCCCAAAATAAGAATCCTTCCTGAAAAGCAAGTTAATGCTAAAGACTGATTAACTCTATAAGAAGGGAAATAATACTTTTAAATGCAGATAATGTGAATCTGAGTTAACTTAAGAATGACGTAAGGCCAGTAGATATTTGTGTAGATTATGCGCTAAAACTGACCCTTACAAAATACTTGTATTAGATTAGTTTCCATCTATGATCATATCAGTATTTCCATTTGATTTTAGGAATTTGAAAATTGGCTGTAAAAATGTGCTTCAGGTAAAACTTGAAGATAAGCATCAGGGGGCATGTTTTTTTTGGTGACTGTTTCTGGGAAAAGTACGTATGTGAAATGATGCAGAAAATCTATCTAGACAGTTAGGGACTGGCATTTTCTTCAGAGGGAGAAGAAAGTATAGAGAAAACTTTCTGTGAGGGTCCTCCCGCTCCATCTTATTTGTCACAAGGAGGTACCTACTCATGTTATCTTTTACTTTTACTTGAATGCAAGTATCTGTTTTTGCAGTGAAAATGTATTTTAAGATCTTTTCTCAGTGGTTTTGACTACAAATTTGGCTAGTTTCAAAGAATGTTATAGAAACCTATGGGCAAGATTACAGTTATAATTCTGGCATACTTGGACACAGTTGGGAGCTCTGATTTAATACTAGTGAAAGTGGAAGATTTAAGGAAGTTTGTGTCTCCCACTTTAACGTCTCTCCCAATTTCTACTTGGGTACTTGACCAATTGAAATCATTGAGTCTTAACCCAAAACGGGGTTACCTTTCTCATTGCTTGTTTTTTCCCTCAGACTTGAAACCTTCATTTCATATTACATTCTGATTATTTCTGCTTTGCTCAATGTACAACCAATGAATTAGAAATGAGTGTTGACATTTCTTTAATTTTTTTTTTCTGTGTGATCTTTTTATTCTCACAGCTATCACGTTGGGTTGGTAGGTCGCACCCAGTATTACACATAGCCATAGCTGCTAATTGGCCTTCTACAGTTGTTTACGTTTTCATTGGTCTAGCTTTTTTCTCACTCCTCTGTTTAAGAACTTTTATAACCACCCTCTCCCCAACACA